TAGAATAAAACCAGTTCTTTTAAACTGCGATGTTTGTAAACAAAAATTAATTAAATTTGTACTTATTATGAAATGAATCTACAACAAACCTGGAATTCAAAATGTGGACTTATTGGTACTCATGCTTGGATGTAGGATGTAGGAACAACGTATATTAAAAATTTGGTGGCTTTAGGTGGCATCGATTATCCACAATATGAGGAACATACATACATACAAACAGATTCTTTGTTATTTAATACGTTTTTTAAATAACACATGGCGACAATATTTGATGCCAATAATTTGAAAAGCATTACGGACGCAAAAAGGATGCGGACAAAGAGTGAGTTTCGAAACTAATAGCACCTTTGGTGCTTATAAGTAAGATGACATTATAGCAATTCTTTCTTGGTTCAAAACGTTTTTGTGCTAGGTATGCAACGCAATTGCGGCTGTTTATTCTTAGCCTTTTGATAACTGTCTCTTCTTTTTCAGTTTAATGACAAAAGTCATTAAACTGAAATAATAAATAATTAAGTATAAATTAATAAATAAAAACTGAAATAATTAATAAATTTAATAATGGCGACTATTTTAATTTTTTCGCGAATATTTCGAAATAATGAAGAAACAGGCAAAATTAAATAGTGATTTGAAAAGCTCATCTCGGATCGTAGGCATAACAGATAACAAAACAAATATTAATTCTTACTAAAACCATTACAATTCTCCCTATTACTGCCGTTTTATCCCCCTGTTCTGTCGCTTTATTAGAGCTAGGTAAAATATTGTTGTATACCCTTAATTCTGCGTAAAGGCCAGGTAATGTGGGGTACTTCAGCTAGTTTGAACATAAAATTTAAAAATAAAATAAATTGAGAAAAGTTTGAAAATTTTAAATGCATTTCTACTTTAGATATTAAATATTTCTTTAATCGCTGCGTCCTAAAATTTACATTGTGACTAATAATTATGAGTACTTTATAATAGATTTACGCATTAAAATGTAGCGCAGTGCAATCCAACCGGGATAGTTGTTAGCGACGCTGACTGCCGTACCGAAGGGTACGGAAAAGGCATGGATGTCTGTAAATGTATAGTGTCTGTGCGGCATGTGGGCATTCCAAATATGCGGCTAGCCGAATGTCCTCTCGAGAGATATGGTAGCGATAGAGGTTTGGATGATCCTCGGACCCATTCGCGCGGAGTGCTCGCCCTCAATGTTTCGGGTGGAAGTGAGCAAAGTCGTACTGTTACCTGTATAGTGCCCAAGTCTGTTGCCAATGACAGGCGTAATTGTTACTCCTTGCCACGATGAATTTCGAGAGCTTGATCTAATTGACACAGGCGAAAGTAGTAATAATAACAACAACAAATTTAGTGCAGTTGTATATTTCATTGGATAAAATTCAATCATTTCTTGAGGCTAAAATCTAAACTTCAAGATTCATATATATGTATTCTTAAAATATTCGCAAGCGTCAAATACTGTTTCAAATTAATAGAAAAGCAAGATTTATCCAAGTCCTTTAATAACAACATCTTTTGTTAAGATCATGATGTATTATTCCAGTTTTCGTTTCTGAATAATGTTTCATTCGATTCCTATTGAACTTCCAATCATTTTTCTAAATTATATTGTAAATAATGTTTCTGAGAACTTTTCTATTCAAGGTTGCTTCCATTTGAAAAGAAGCTTACTTTTCAAACAAATTCAAATTAATTTATTTGAATCCCGAACAGATTCTATTACTTTGAAAAATGAAACTAACTTTAGATGAAAAAAGGGAGTAGCGTTCATGACAAGGAATCGTAAGCTACACATTAGGACCTTCCGATTTAGTATGTTTTTATCCAGAAATTTCATTAAATAAATTTATCGTATTGACAAGTAATTAATTTTGTTTTTTAGTGGGAAATAAAACTCAGTTTTTCTTTCTATACTCTTCAATAATCTTTCACCATCTTTTTTGGTAATTTCAAGATTCTTCGCTTATAGAACTTCTGGTCTTTATCAGCAAATATCTCAACGAAATGCGATTTGACGTCATCGTCATTCCTGAAATTTTTGCCACATACGAAGTTTTGTAAACTTTGAAGAAAAAAATGACAATCCAGTAGTGCAGAGTCGGGGCTATATAGGGGAAGCGACATCACTTTCCAACTAATCACCAATAATTACGTTCATCTTACAAACATGTGTAAGGCTTCGCATTGTCATGGGGGAACACGATTCCTTTCCTATTTTCCAATCCTGGACATTCTGTTTCATTGCGTTCCTCAGTTTCATAAGTTTTTAAGAGTACACATCTGAGTTGATCTTTTGTTTGCTTTTAAGCAGCTCAAAATATACAAAACCTTTGTAATTATACCAAATGGACAGCGAGATCTTTTTCTGACGCAATTCAGCTTTCCATGTGATTTGTGCTGATTCATCATGCTTGGAACATGAGCTTTTTCTATTAATTTTGTTGTAAGCGATCCATTCGTCACCACCAGGGATAATTCGTTTCAATGACGGATGAATTGCATTACGTTTGAAATGCGTATCTCAAATACTGTTTCGTTGTGTTAAGGGAATTTCTTTCAGTTCTTGCGAAACCCAAATATCGAGCTTCTTAACGAGTTCAAGACATTTTATGGATTTTCAATTGTTGTGTGTGATATATTAAACTTTTTGAAATCTCTGCATAGTTATATTACGATTCGATTTAATTATGTCTTTAATTCTTTCATTACCAACTTCAGAAGATAGGCCAGAATGTTGGTCATTTTAAGTAAAAAAATTCCGGAACGAAATTTTTGAAACCAGTTGTGACACACGCGTTCTATTAAGCAATCAACACCATAAAATTCCTAATCTCTTTATGAGGCTGAGCCGCTTTTCTTGTCTTTATGCAGGTAAAAAATTTAAGTATGGCAAAAATGATTATTTTTGTACTCCATGTTAAAATTAACAGTAAATTAACCGTTTTAAACTGTCAAGTTCAGAAATATTGGAGGGCTATAGATCTAATGGCGTCATAGCCAATCTTCTGGGCATTTGTACTAAATAAACAAACATTCATGCCTTATCCAGGATTTCAACCTAAGCCCTTCTGTACGACAGTCAGTGTCACTATGCTAAAATAATCAAGCATACGTTTCTTGCTTTACCAGTTTCAGAACCTGAAACATAACATGATTTCTCGGTAGAAGCTAAAAGCTACAGCAGATGAATTACACCAAAAAATATGCCTAGTGAAGGGAAACAGCCTCTAAAAGAAACAGTCTCTAATTTTGCTTTATCCACTGGAAAACATTAGCCTCTGTGGCTGATTGCAGCTTTCACTCCAACTCTTAGGCAGACTACTTTATTACTACCTCAGCAATGCTTCTAAATTTGTTGCATAGTGTATTGTTCGTCTCTGTTAACTACTGGCATTTAATAGAAGCTTATACTCATTTTTATGCATTTGTATTTAGTATTTGCATTCGTAATTAGTAATATTAGTGTTTATGTATCTTGGACATTATATATATAAAACAAGTCATGGTAATGGCTTGATTTTAAAGAAATAATGTAATGAATATAAAAATATGTATGGCAGCTTCAAACATTCTATCAAAAATTGTAAAGGTATATGCTGTTTTAAAATATTTTGTGATTTTGCTGATTTGTATTAGGAGATAAAAATTTTATAATAAAAAGAGAAGAAAAATGTTAGCCATCCTTTTAAGAAACTAAATATTGACATGAAGAAATGAGAAAAAAATATAAATATGTATGCCAACATTAAAATCCTATCGTGGAGGAATACGTTATTTAGAATTTGATGGGTCTAGGTACCTTCTTTTTTTCACAATACGAGGAACATATTTACACACATAAAAATTCTTCATTATTTAATTTCTTTAAAAATAATAATGGGCGATTATATTTTGTGGCTGCTGTTTAAAAGTGATACGCCAGCACAAAACCCATTTCGAAACTGATAGCCTCTTTTGAGGTAAAAATTGGTTTTACTAATACATATTCTAAAGAAAAAACGTCAATTAAAATTTAACTCTGGGATCAAATTAAAAAGGAAATTATCATTAATTCCGTGTATTTTAATAAATATGAAAAGCAAGATGTTTCAGATAGAATTACATTATAGAATTAAAGCTCTCGTTTCAGAACTCTATTCAGATTTTTAATGGATAGCATGATCTTTCAAATTTAATACAAGGCATAAAATACTATTATAATTTTGCTTGTAGGAAATTGCTATCTGATTTAGTATTATTTGGAAGCTCATCACAATATTCCGAGTGCCTTTGTCATAGCTACTTGAATTTAAATGTAACCTAATCAATCCGACGTCTAAATTTATCTTGAATAATGTGTTAACGAATGCGTATTCAAACTCTTGGTAAAGAATTAGAGTCTTTTGTCATTATAGGAAACGCATCTCTTCCCATCCATTGAACTTTCATTTCATATGCCCACCAAATTTGTCGACGTTACTTAGCAGTCGATATTAACTTTCTGTCTCTCAAACTAGGATTTGTATTAGAGAATGAATACAATTGTATTACATTTTTCCACTTTCAGTTAATGAATTATGCAAATTTTCATCAGGAGCGGAATTCTGAAACTTTTTACTGTAGAGGAGTGCAAGTCTGGTAAATAAGTAGAAAATTTCGAAGCATTCTTAAAGAAATTCTTCCATCAAAAATTCTATAAAATTCATATGTATTCTTTTACGTAAATTATCACACGTATATCCTTTATTACATTAATTATCTTAGGTAATTTATGAAACCTAATGTGAATTTACTTAATTATTTTATGTAATATTTTTTTCCTAATGAAATTCATAGTTTGATCTTAATTAAACATAAAATAATGAAAGAAAAGAGAAATAAAGAATGACATAATCGAAAAGAATTATTTCAAGCCTACTGAAATATCTGTATATGTTTAAGTAAAAAAAATATCAGCGAATACTAGAGCAACAGGTTTAAATTTATTCCTCTAACACAACTACAAAGCTTACAGAAATTCATATGCTATATGTTTAACTCTAGATCAAATACAAATGACTTTTCACGCAGAATACATGCGTGCAAATAATAGACTGTCGGCAAACTGAGGAATTCAGTTAAAAGACAATGGTATATTAACAATGGTAGGTTAACAATGGTATATATAAATGTAATACATCCCTATGTCACGCTTTCGGGGCATGAGAAACGCAAGTCGAATTTTGCCAATCGACCCAGAATAACTGGAGATATAGAACTGCTCCTCTCAATCTCTCTCTCTCTCTTTTTTTTTTTTTTTTTTTTTTTCGCAGTGTACGTTTTCTCATATTTTGTTCTCAGGAGCTAGGCAAATTAGTCCACTTTGCCAAATCTCTCTCCACCAATTCTCTGTTGATGAAAATAGTCTGAAATGAATAAAAAAATATAATGTCAGAATATATAATTGCATCAGAAGTATCAAAATACATATTCAAAAATATAGCGGACTCATTTGAATTTTAATTTTTTTCATGCGAAATTCAAACAAAATTGGAGAAAAATTGTCTAACCTACCATCTTAAAACGTATAATTTTTCTAATTTGTTTAACATAATAAATTATAAAGTTTTTTAATTAACATTTCATGACTAAAATCTGCTTCCTCTTTACGAAAAATACTGTCTTCCCAACTTTACGTTTTATTTCGCTGTTGCTCGATGTAAACAAAATGTTTTGCATTTGATTTTTTAAATTGATTCATTATCTTCAGTATATCAAACAATCATCTTTAATTTACCTGCTCCGCTTACACAAAAAGCAGTCCCGAGATCCAATCCAAAGCGTTGACAACTTGAAGGAGTTGAACTACTGCCTTGTGTGTCAATACTTTTTTCCACTTGGAAAAGGTTCATTGAAAACTTAGGAACTTTTCGCAATGTGTTTATTTTTAATTTGAATTGAAATTAATTATTTAATGGTTAATTAAAAATGTCAGTTATTTCAAAGAAATACCAGTCTAAGAATTTAATATTTAGCTGCCAATTATTATTGATTATGTAATGTTGTGATTAACAAATGTTTAGTTAGAAATATAAAAAATTGCTAAATAGTTTTTATTGTTTTAATATTTTTTTTTTTTTTTTTACTTTTAAAACGAATTCCCGCTCGTTTACTGTTTCAGATTGTGCATTCACCTGAAGTTAGACTTTGAGACTATTGTAGTAAGTTAAAGAAATTACGCATATATTAGATTACGCATATATATTACACATATATTTAGAAATAATCTCATACTTAGGTACTTACTTCTAGTTGGCTATAAAAGTTAGCGAAAATTTGTCAAATCTCACGACCACCAATTATTTTGCTGGCATAAAATCTGCAACAATAACCAAAACAGAAACAAATATGTCTCTTTCTTTGTGAAAACAACGCCTATTAGCCATATACAAATTTAAGTGGTATCGCACCGTCTCCCGTTGTCTTTTATTCCGCCATTTGGGCGAACAATCCCTGAATGTTTTGTGTATGTATCCCGATATCCAAATCTACAAATTTATAGTTGTAATTAACTTTTAAATGTTCGAAATTGGCAGCTCTTATTTTATTCTTTTATAAACTTTCCATAAGTGCGAGTATATTGTAGAAATTTCAATGTTATCTTTTACCGGTTGCGTAAACCGGCTTTCCTATCTGGAACTATTGCCATGGAGTTTTAACCACGCGGTGGTTTTAAAATAATAAGTAGTCTAAACAATGCCAGACATTGCTACTTCGATAAAACTGATTTAAGGATTTAGTCTTAATGTTCTAAATTTTCAAGTTTATTCCACTTGGTATAAGAGCCGCCCAATCACAGCGAAGCAAACATCAGTCGATAGTTTCGCTGAGTCAGCTGCACATTTACGCATGGGCAACTTTCTCTTCCTTGACTGGCTATGGCTTAAGCCCTGCTAAAAAGGTGTGAATGGAACGGCAAATTAAAAATGAAGAGAGTGTTAAGAGTATTAAGAACATAGTGTTTATAAAATGTTAAGATCCACTCCAAATATTATGAGGAAACTATTTTATACCAAATTTATGAATGTGAATGCCCTTTTCGTTACCCACATTGCCATCAAGTCAGTAAAACTGCATCAAGACAAAGCAAGGAGTTATCTGTCAAAATTTACTATTAATTTCCTGGAAGAAAATGAAAGAGGAAATGGGTATCAAGGCCCAACGTTTCACTCATATCCTTACTAAATTTCCTGATGTATCTCACCGCGGATTTCTTGGGCTTTTCGACTTTTAAAAATTTGGTTTTTACAGTCGTCGGACTACAACATTCCTTGTACTTTCGAAAACTATTGAAGAGGAATCGGTTACCTTGTTTGATATTAAAAAGCTTTATTGTCATAGAAATTATGATGTAGAAAGGTAGTGAAGAATATGGGCTGTCAACATTTAAAGCGCAAACTGTTTAGATAAAATATTTCTACAAACACAATGAAAAATGTTCAAAAAATGTGCGAACAGCCTCTTTACACACAACTGTAAATTCATAGAATGGATGAGCTGGTCATAAGCCAATTTATAAATTTAAAAAATGAAAGATATGGAAGCACTATGTTCTGAGAATTGTCTAACATTTACAAGAAGTGAAAGACCTATCAGAATACACTGCGCTTAAAACATTTTGTAATAAATATTTATTGAAGCAAATATGAAATAAAATGTATCTATACATGACATGAAATAAAATTCTGTTCTATAAGAATAAATAACTGAAATTATGAATAAATTTCTTTTCATTACTTACTTTGTCTCCATGAAACTTAAACAAGCGAACATACGCTATATTGTTTCTTGAATAACGGTCACAGACAGCAAAAAGAGTCTCATTTACGCACATTTCCTCCATGGCATGAAGAGCATCATCAGACCACCCATTTTGACCTTTTAAAGATATTTAAAAATCTTCATTGCGTTGTTTAATGACATTAAATCTTTGTTTAAAAAATAAATAAAAAGATAATTTTAAAACTTCCGGGATTTGTTTCTGCATTTGTTCTCAGTGTATGAAAAGTATAAACAGAAAAACATGGGAAATATCTAGTACTATTCGAACAGATGAAAGAAATATATAAAGACTTATTATTTATCTGTTACTACAAACTTCAGATTATTTTATTTGATGAAGAATTTTAAAATTTACATATCTTTAATTTTGTTCGTTTGGGTTTGATTATTTTCATAGAATGCTGTAGACTAATTAGGTTAAATGAGGGCAGGAAACATGAAAAGTTTACATTGCCCTCTCCTGTGTTCGAATATCGGACCTTCCGTTTGCTAGCCGGACATGCCTTTAACTCCACCACGAAGGCACTCGATAAGGAGGAAGAAAATACCTTGCATAATCCCCGTTTTAAACAGCAATTGCGGAAGAAAGGGAACAAATCACCAAATCCTGGTGGTGATGAATTTTAGTCTACCACCATCGACTTAAGGTGTTACATGTAGAGGTTGTTAGAATTCTTCTATGCCAGGAAACTGAAGAAATTCTCAGTGCCCTCGACAGCTTTCGAACACTGGGCCTCCCGATGGCTTTTACGACGTGCTATCCTTTTACACCAAAAAGGGAAGGGTTAAGAAGGGACAAATTACCTTGTAATGCTATTTTCAGTAAAATCATTAAATATGACCACTTACCATCTGGGAATGTAATATTTCCCAAACAGCATTCTACTGCTGTGAACTGCAATATCATGAAATTGGTTCTGGAAAGTAAAAGAATAATATGTCATAAAACATCATACATGAATGAATTCAATTAAATTTAGAACTTACAAAAATTAAATACGATTTCTGTAACTACCTACATGAATTCATAATAATTTTGCTCGGTAAACCTCAGTAAATGTAAGAACATTGCTTTTTTTTCAGATCATAATTTATGCAAAAATGTGAAAAAATGTTCTATCCTTTTGTCTTCAAATTTCAGATCTCGGTCTGTTTTCCTAATAACTGAGTTCAAGGTGTAGACCTCACAAAATGCAACTCGAATTTAAAAAAAAAATTCAAATTGCCACGCGAGCAAAACATCTTTTTAAGACCATACATGACAGTTGAAGAACGGTTCTTAGAAGCTCTATGGATTTAAAATAATGTATCATCATTGGTTTAAACGTTTTAAAAAGTAATATGGTAATAAAAGTACCACAAAAAATTATTAGAACATGCAATAAAAATTATTTAGTCGTAAAATGAAAATAGCAAATTAAAACAAATCTTAAACAAATGATAGAATTTTGTAAATTATAACTTTAATAATAATTTATAAATTGCTTTTTTCCTTGACAATTTGCATAAAAGCTGCCAGCTCTAATTTCGTTAAAAATCCATTTCATAACATGAGAAAATAATAAAAAAGTCTCATGTAAGGAACAATTGAATTGGAAACTCTCACTGGAACAAATTATAACGCAGGCTATTAAAGAAATCGGGAACCTTTCTATTAACGAAACCTAGAAGTATCTCAGTATGAAGTGTTCTTACGCAATGCAAATTATCTACCTTACTTTTAAGAACCGATGGCTGCCCAGAATTTCTAAACATCAAACTTTATCAAATTCCTTAATTTTTAACACAATAATAATTCTACCCACAAAATAGACAATCCTAAAACATCTCCTCCCGAAAAGAATAAAATAACATCTAACAAATGCAATTCACAATTTACTCTTATCTTATTCCGTCTTCTTATTCTTATTCTGTCCAAATCTTATTCCAAAACAATTAAAAACACGAACCCCAATAAAAATTTTATCGCATTCTTTTGCACAATAAAGGAACTCGAGTTTATCTTTCGAAAGCACTAAATTATCCTAATTAGCATTGCTTATTCATCACAACCTGCTATAATTCCAGCTAGGTCTTTGTTTTATTGCATTTCAGACGCTCCACCTGCCCAGAGGTTTGTCAAATTATGCTGACAATTAACTTTTAAGTGTATCGAAAGACTTTGAACTTTGTTTGTCAAAACGCTTACCTTCACTTTCCATCCAATTTTGATTGCCTGATGAACACAGTTTGTACATCTTTCGCCTTCGGGTGGGTACTATGCACCATAAATTAAAAAAAACTACCATGAACAGCTTTTTGGCATATATGAATGAACTGGTTAGAACTCTAAGTAGTTCACACCAGAAGTGATATTGGTCAGTGTCAGTGTCAAATTGTTGCCACAAAATATTAGAGACCTGTATTATAGTTAAAGAAATGAAATAATGAAGAATCTGCATAAAAGTATGTATGTTTCTGGGATTCTGATAAAACAACGGTACGTAGAACCATCAAATTTTGAATAACGTAGCCCTCCAACCCGAATATGAGCACCTGAAAACCCGAATTTGGAAATTTATTTTTGATGCTAGTTGTCTATTTTATACTTTGTAAAACTTTAACGAAATTTTGATTAAAATCTCAACGAATATGGGCATCTGGAAGCCCCAATTTAGAATTTGGAATTTGTTTTATTATTTATTTCATATTTTGCAAATTTTTAACGAATTTTTGATTAACAAGCTGGAAGATGTCAAAGCGAACAATGGCAACACTGTACGGGAAAAAAAAGCATTTTTATCTCCAGCTCGCGAAACTGTGTATCGGAAATTCTAAAGATGTGCTCATTTTAAAATTATTTTGCGATATGGCTGTTGAACTGAAATTTATGGATGAAGTGCGAAGAACATGATATTTAATAAATAAAGGTAACACACAAAGCGTTAAAAATCGCACCTTTGGGCGTAATTGTAAAATCTGAAAGCTTTTAGATTTTCTAATTTTTTTAAAATAACAATAAGTGCTACATCTAGGAATTTTATTTGTGGAAGTATAGTACCACAGATATTTAAAATTAAAGCATGTTTTAATATAGTACATTTTACGTTAGAAATATTAATATAATAGTAAGCATTTATCAAATATTTAAGCACGAAAATCATTAATTGTAAAAAGAAACTTTTTTTAATGTAAAATGAAAAATATCGTATGTAACGCCCACTGCAGAATAAAACTTTCGAGTGCAAGTTACAACAAAACCTAATTCTCAAATAACTGGTTTATAATTCGTACTTCAATAGCATTTCAGATATAAAGAATTTCGCCAAGACCCTGCTCGTTTCTTCACCGCATACTAGTTTCAATTCGAAACTCGCCTAAAGCTAGCCAGGACGCTATTCTATGGACGCTGGTTTACATTATGTCTTCGAAAGCTTGCTTTTTTCTCCCATTCATATTCTTTAGTTTTAAGGGAAAATGCGGCCAGCACTTTATTTAGCTGTTAAGCATTTAGTTTAGGAATATAAAGAAAACCTTTTATTCAAGCTTTGTATTTATCAATATTTTCAATACTTTTTGTTATGCTATTTATAAAACACATTAAAAATAATGAAAATCTAAATAAATACATACATGTGTTTTAAATACATACATATATTCATATTTGTGTAGAAGGCAAAACAGGGTGAGAACCAATGGCTTAGACTGTATCAGTCAACTTCAAAGCATATCAATGAAAAATTTGTTACGTATGATGCACTTAAACATAATTACATCGTTTCTCGTTACAGCTACTGAAATAATTCTCAAGCACACATTTATAGTTAACTTTCAAGCTGTTTGCATGATATATATAAAAAGCATTGAAGTTAAAATAATTATGCCCATAATGTGAGACTGAGCAGAGAATATTAATCTGAGATCAAATAAAGCACGTTGATTTAATGTCGTCTGCTTCCAAGTCTTATTGGAAGCATGTGGCATCGAAGAAACTGTGGTTGATTGGAATGCTGAATATCTTGTTTCTTCGATGGCCCAACGGACAAACATAATTTTCTCATGTATTTTTCAGGGATTAAGTAGGCATTTTCAGCTGGATTATAAACTTACTCTGATTTTGACAGTCATGGGAATTTTGTAGCATGCTTATTTCGTTTCAGTATTGTTACTAGTGGACTCGGCGCATGCGACGATACTGTGGAACATATTTTATTGCATTGGTAGGCTGCATGCGAGTGCCAGAAGTGCATTTAGAGTGAGCTTAGGGCAGCTGTCTATTTGCTCGCCTCCTGATTTCTATGGATCCTCATCGCCACCTATATCCCCAAATCATATTAATACACCCAAAGCTCAGTGCTTTAGGACTGACCTACGCCAGATATGGAAATTGTTGACGTTGTTGGGAATCAATTATTGGGGTGTAGCCTAGTTATTATTCTTAAAAGGTTTTCATTTTCGATCCTGATGTATAATCTGGCGTAGGTCAGTCCTAAAGCACTGAGCTTTGGGTGTATTAATATGATTTGGGGATATAGGTGGCGATGAGGTATCACCATTCTTTTGAGGTTTGACACCACAGATGCAAATGTCGGTATAAGATAGATTCCTTTTCAGAAAATAATCTGGATATAGGCCATGACCGGTGACGTAATAAGTTTGGAAGGGCTTGGAGCTTCTGATTTCTGTTCCGATTTTTGGGAAGAACCAGTAAATGCGCAGGTCTGTTGCTGCGTTATTTCCCTCTTCTTGCAACTCGTGGCTTGGATGGTTGTTTACGGCTTGTCATATTTGCAATTTCGCAGCCTTGAGTTTTAGGCACTCGTTTTCTTGGGAAAGATCTACTTCTTTTTGCAATTCGTTTAGGCATTCTACCGCATAAAAGCCCTATTTTTCAAAACACTTTTTGAATTGTGTTTTAAGAGATTGAACTCCTGTATTGATTAAAATGGCCCATTATGGTCTCTAGCAGAGATATCGACTTAGTTATCTTCTTCGAAATTTTTGCGTCTTTTGGATAGCTAAAAGTTCGGACATTCTGGAAATGAAGAATCAATATTTTACCAAAATGAATTTCAAAAGCAGTCGTCAAGAGTTTAATAAACGTTGAATTTCTTATTATTTAGGATGTATTTCTTTTGTTTTCTCGAAATCTGCTGATTTTATTAACCAGTAACTTTAACAAGCGGCGGATACTGTACAAACCATATTCACTAAAGTCCTTACCCGATCTTCATTTCGCGCGCCGTTGGCCATACATACACTTCCAATGACTTAAGAGTTTTAAATGAAGCAAAAATTTATGTTTTCACATTATTATATTAAAAAACTACTAAATCTCTCTAATATTGTCATATCTCTAACGGCATGAAAATAAGGAAAAACGATTTTTAGTGTTTTACCAATGTTGAGTTTTCTTACAAAGATGACTCTACGTCTTTTGTGTTTATTTTATTTAGGCGCTTACACCACATAAAATTCAATTCAACAGCAAAATCACAAAATATTTAAAAACAGCATATCTTCAGACAGTCTCGCGTGCCGGAGTTAAAAATGTTTTTCCCTACAGTGCTGCTTTGAATCAGACGGCTTTGAAAACGTTGAGTGAAAACGGCTTTGAAAACGCTTTGAAGTGACGGCTTTGAAAACGTTGAGTTGGTTAATCGAAAATTCATAGAACCTTTACAAAATATCAAATAGATAATAAAACGAATTCGAAACTCAAAATTCGTCTTCCAGGTGCCCATAATTGGGTGGAGGATTACGTCATCCAAATTTCGATTACTCTAGGTGCCGTTGTTTTTTCACAGTGCGAAAAACATCCTTACATTCATGCAAATTCTTCATTATTTAATTTCTTTAAATGTAATACAAGGCGATAATATTTGGTGAAACAATTTGTAAAGCATGCCACGTGCATGCTATGTTGAATTGAAGT